GTATGACTTAAAGCAGTTATGACATGGTCTGATTTTCTCACCCAATAAAGGAATATTTCATATATCAGTCGACTCTTCATTCTATCAGACACAGTTATCACAGCTCGTACATTTTCTTTTTACACATGTATGTAAGCATTGAGCCAAATTTAGTAATGCCAGCATACTGAAGGAACGACATTTGTCTCTTATATATAATACATCTATAGATACACTGTCAAAGATACTTGAGTGTCTTTGAGTGAAGATTTAAGGTGACAGGAAATATAAATAACTGCAACTTGAATCTTTACTGAAGCTCAGTATTTGACACAGAGTTCAAACTCACTGCTGTAACAACTAATAATGATTTAATATAATAACTATAATATTGGCCATCTCATATTTACACTGACTTTAGTCTCATGAACGACATCAGCTAATTGTTATGTACTAGCTAATCTTAAATGACTGTTCAGTACAGAAATGAAGCCCAACAATCATGATTTACAGTCTTGTGGTCTCAGCCTCAGATACTTATTAAATCACACAAAGCTCACGTAGAAACAAACAAACGAACAAAATGTGTTCTCGTTCATTTCTGTCAACCACACGTTTCCAGCTATCATGGTTGCTAGGCAACCTGGGCAGCGCGGCGGAGGCTAGACCGTCCCATTTCACAAGCCTCGCACTTCCGGCCTCAGCGGTCTTTGAGTACGCGGCCCTTGAGGACCGTTGAGGCTGCAGACCCTGAATTGGGATACAGCCAATGATCCTGAGGAGACTACTACAACCTGTGAACAGGTAGCCATGGAAACCACACCTGCTGTAAACAGCTTTGTTTCCTGTCAGCTGATGAACAGAGATGGTCAGCGTGCTGCAGTAAGTGGGCGGTGCCAGTCCTGAGACACCTGTGCAGGTGTTTCCTCCCTGTGACTATCTCAGACCATTGTTTATGTCAACCCCCCCCGCCGTGGTTCTCTTTATGTTCATGTTAAATAAATGAGACTCAGTGCCCCCCCC